ATAGAACATGCCATTTTGATTGAAGTGTTGAATCAAGTTAGTCCGTCATTAGAAGAAGCTGGTTTACATTTAGAAATATGTATCGACGGTGATTTGGACTCAAATAAAACTCTTTCGAACGAACCCATTGTAGCCACTGTCTATGCTGATCTAAAACATTTAACAAAAAATATTAAAAATTCTATACGTAGTAAGTGTAAAAAAATTTTTATTACAAAAAATTATAAGTTAATAGATTCATATATTTTCCAATACCTTTTCTTTTTTTAGATAAAAAATACATCCGGTTCCACGCCTTTGAAGACCATATAATGCGTTGGTTTCGAGGATGTATTTATTCAGCAGCCTTACGAAAAGTAGCCCAAGATCCTCACACGCCATCTGAAAAGGATACACGAGATATGCAAGTAGAGGGTCTTATCCGCCATTTACAAAATGATCATTCATCTTGTTGGTCAGATATTTGCTGAACGAAAGATGATCCAGAAATTATTTTGCAAGAACCTACTCTTTGTCATTCATCTGATAATCGAATTAATGAATTTCGAAAACTTCTTGAAGAAGTTTTTCGTTTACCTTGTGGTCAAGGGATTGTTACATTAAATCGGACATCCCAAAATGAAGCATTCAATCGTGTAAAGCTAGTATACCTAGACAAAAAAATTGATTACTGGCAATCATATTCTGCACGTCATGCAATGGCTATATTGCATTATAATGAAGGATATACTTATCTGTTCTCTGAACTTCGAGAAATCTATAGTGAAAAACCTTTCGAGGCTGAAGACTTGCACAACATTAGTGCAATAGAAAAAGAGCGTTCTGAAAAACAAAGATGGAATGTCGATAAAATACAACAACGTAACCAAATGCGGGCTGATAATTTTGCTAATAAACGTAAAGAATTAGGTGGTTTTAATTTTGATAAGGTAATTATTATCATTATAAAATAATAATCTTAAAAGTTCAATTATTTATTTACTTACCATCATAATTTAATAATATAGGAATTGGTTTATTATAAGGATAAAGCACAGGATCGGCTTCGTGCAAATGAGTTGTATCCGTCCTTTGCTTCATTGATCGTAGACTTCGATGTAATTATAAGATGTATTAATTGCCATGCTTTTCCAAAACATACAAAAGGCTTATGCGCATTGTGTCATACATACCAAGTGTTTGGTTGGAAAACCCGAATTTTAAACCCGGAAATAATAAACGATGATGCATACCAACCTATGAGTTTAACACAACAAGTTGAAGTTATAGCAGAAAAAATATTTAAATATACTAATTTAAGATCCGGACAATTAGAGGCTATAGGAAGTTATATAGAGGAAAAAAAGGATACACTTGTTGTTATAAAGACTGGAGGTGGAAAATCTTTTTGTTATGCAGCCTCTGCGATCCTCTTTGACGGTCTTACAATTGTTATCACCCCTTTGAAATCTTTAATTCAAAACCAAGTGGTCTGTATAAAAATCGTGTTATGTAAAAATTTGAAAGTTAAATAAACATGAATCTAATAAATTTTACCTTTAGAATCATTTCGTCCAGTTAGGAGTTCCATGTGGTGGCTTGCTAACATCGTCGAAGGGAACGATTGAATATTAATCGAAAGTTTTTGATGAAATAGTTCTTGGATTTATTCGCTTGCTTTATGTAACCCCAGAAAAACTGTTGCTTAATAAATCACTTTGGAAGTTATGTAATCGCTTATATGATATTAGGAAGCTACAGTTTGTGATCGACGAGGCACATTGTATTTTTGATTTTTGTCATTTCAGGTGAGAGATACACAAATATAAGTTTAATTTATAAAAAAAATAACAAAATTTAAAAAATAAAATATAGAGAAGAATGGGGGAAAATTAGGAATATTAAAACAATACTTTCCTGATGCTCGAATTATGGCTTTATCTGCAACTTTATCCCATGCTGATGTAAAAGCACTTCAAATTAATTTAAATCTTGATACAACGCGCTTCGCAACTGTAAGAGGATCTGATTTATTTCGCAAAGAGTTATGTTTTTCTGTGCAAAGTCGAACAGATACCAACTCAGCTTGGGCAGACGAAGTAGTAAGATTGGTAAAAAATATAGAAGAGGTTGGTCGCACGATAATCTATTGTGCGCGAATCAGTGACTGTTTAGATGTTTTTAACATGTTAAATACAAAATTGGAAGAGCTATCATTAGACATATATAATGGACAATTAACAGAAAGTGATAAAAATAATGTGATGAAAAAATGGAATAAAGGCCAAACGCATTTAATGATTGCAACATCGGCCTTTGGTTTGGGCATAGACATGCCCGATGTCCGTCTAGTTATACACTATAATTTCTCAATGAGTATGAGTAAGTGTATATGTTATTTTAATAAGTATAAATTCATTAAAGAACAATAACTAATACTTTCATAAATAGCTAGCCTTATCCAAGCTTCCGGGCGGTCTGGACGGGATCAACAGAGAGCCAAATGCGTTATTCTTTATTCTCAGAAGGATATTCGTATAAATTACTCTATTATCGCAGAAAATAGGGAGAGGTATTATTAATATAATCATATATTAAGTTTTATTAAATAATTTTCTAAAATACTCTTATTATAGTACTGATGAAAATGATGAGAATGATGAGAAAACTATAACTCGAGAGCGCTTTTTAAAAGAATCACGACACAAACTTTTTGAAGTAATATATTACTGCCTTACCACCTACGAATGCCGATTTCAATTAATATCACAATATCACATGTGGCCAGGAGATCCAATTCCACAAGCTTGTAATTCCTGTGATAATTGCGCCATGCGTTCAAAGAACAAAGTTGAACTAAAAAATGTAAAAACAGATATTTTAGAATTGTTAAAGGTAGTTGAAATATTATGCAAAAATAATGATAAGCCAATCGTACCCTTGGATGTAAGAGATGTTTTTTGTGGTTCGTTAAATAATGCACGACTTCAAAGTAGAAAGCTAAATTTGATGGAACTTACTAATCGTACAAAACCACAGTTTTTACATACAAAACCCTTAGCTAAATTAGCTTTGGCAGATCTGGTTCGTTATGGTTTTGTTGACCAGACAATCTGGCTTGAACGAAAGACTAGTACAACTTACTTGACGTCTACTATAATAGTACAAGGTATAGTAGAAGGTGCGAGTTCTCTTGTGCAAGAAAAAACTTGGTCATATTGGGTAAAATCGTAGAATTTTTTTTCAACATTATTTTTTTACCTTTGTATTCTATATACATTCGCATTTTTCTAATAAAATTTAGAATTAATATTGATCACTACGTTGTTCAGAAATCTAAATATGATAGTGCTTATAAGAAAAAAAAAAAACTTCTTTTGCAAATCGCATGTCTTACAGTAATCTATATACGAACGTACATTCTAAATCGGGTTACTGTAATACTTATTCGAATCTAATATTTTTTCTTCTCTTGTTACGTTACTTGTATTGTCAAAATGCTATTACAAGTCAAAGTCGAAGACAATATTTCATACAGTATTATCTATTATCTACCACTGTATTATACGGAATGTTCTAGATTAATATAAGGTGTTCGATTTCCCTTTTAGTTACACAAAATTGATCTACAACCGATTTCATATGAAATTGTAAATTATTTCCCCCTACCCTTAAAGTGAGGCTTTTTTTGTTAATTTATCGTTATATCTGTAGCGGTAATTATTGTTTTCGGTAACGATATTAAAAAGTTGTGCGTATCGTACTGTACTATCGTTTATAACTTTTTATTCAATACAGTACAGTACTCATTTACATTTCATATAATGAAAAGGTGTACTGTACAGATGTACAATATAGTACTCTTATATTTATATACAGTACAGTACATTCACTAACAAAATACAGTACGAAACTTCTACATTCCGCATTAACAGTTAAGTACGTACGTACGTACGTATTACCAGCCAAAAAAATTTCGAATATCATATCATACCATTATCGTTATCGCTCTTTTCGATTTATCTTTGTCAATTTATCTTTTCGATTTAACATTTTATCGTTCTTTTCGATTTAGTTGGATTGACGATCTGTATACAGCATATATATATTTTTTTTGAGCCCGTAAGTCCTGTGATTACAATAAGTAATCACTTCAACTTTGTCATATTTCGTGGGACTCATTGGCTGGAGCTGAGGGAAGTGAAGTGAAAGCCTTAAAGTCATACTCTACGAATTTTCGGAAATGTCCGGTTCCCGGTTACACTGATCCAAATTTTAGGTCGTGTATCTAGAAATTGAACCTAAATCAAGTTCAACGTTTGGATGCCGAATTCTTTGTTTAAAATATAGCAGCTGATTTTTAATAAAATACACGAACCAAGCGTTACCCAAAAATCAGTTACGTTTTAACTCGGTTAAACACAATTAATTTTATAGTTCCGATGGTTCAATATGTTCAATTGTTTATTTTGATTAATGGTAATGACTTTTTCTAATTTAGCGATAAAAACTTTTTTTACCTACAATGAATTCTTTATACTACAATTCGTGAATACTTATTTATATAAGTTATTTATATAATACATATTTTGTACGTATTCTTAAATTCATTTATAGGCATTAAGAAATCAGAAACATTTTCTCAACGAAGAAAATGAGTTATAAGCGTTTGAACAAAAATTCGAGAAAGACATATATATGATGTTTAAATTATTTTGAAAAAAAGTAATTTCACCAAAAATTTTGCTATTGACATTTAATTTGCATTTTAATATGAGGAACTCAATTAATTTCGCTATTGATTTCGCCGACTATGGAAGACTAATTAGATTGACTAATTGTTGAAATAATTATTTATTAAGTAATTTAAACATCCATGTATAGAAAGGCATGGAATGGATGTGATTCGAATGCTTGTTATTGGTGATAGTTTTAATGTCTTTCGAATTCGAATTAAAATTTTCATTTTTATTATGAAATTTAATTGATGTAGCGCTAGTAAAAAAGAATATATATAAAAATTAACCTGTATCTTCAACTGCACTTTTCTTCTTCGACGAGGCTGGAGAAGTGACGTCAGTTTCTTGCCCCTTTTCCCTTGCTGGACACGATTCAGCACATTTTCGGTTTGTCACATTTTATCCTTTTCTGATATCAATCTTTTTAAAAAAAAACTTGTGTAAGAAATACAATATCTCAGATAGTAAAATTAGGTCAAAATGGTTAGGCATTTATTTGTGCATAAAGAAAGATACATAGTAAAAAGTGTTGAAAGAGCGGTTTTGCTATAAAGATAGTTTTAATTTAGTTCAATTATAGATGAGTGACAAAATTATTTTCACAATGAAGAAATCGACGAAATTATATTACTGGTCTCAAATGATTCTTACCCTAATTTTAATTACTTTGCTTTGATACACTGAAGTTTGAAAGAGGCCGTAAAATTGGTCTTGAAAATTGTCTATCCTCAACCTTTACCTAACCAGAATATCGGTTCTATGCGCTGAACTATAATTAAAGCGGAAGTAAACTAACCTCCTTGGCATTTAAAAGTTCCCTGGCCTTATTGTAGGCTTCTGGTGACTCTGGATCGTTTGGAACAGCCTTTAGTTCGTCGTAAAAGGACTCATAGATTTCGTCCTTTGTCATGTCACTTCCATTACAGATCATGGAAGGAAAGAAACTATCCAATGACCAGAAAACGCTTGGCAGTTCGAAGTATCCGGCAATAATAATGGCGATGGATTTGTTTGTTAGCATTGTTGCGAAACTAATCTACGCGAAATAAGAAAAATGTACAACAATAACAAAAAAAAACAAAACATCCTTTAATAACATATGATATCATCTGTTACACAATGCGTTAGTATGGTGTTTGGTTGAAAATGACTTGAAATTTTGTCCTATCCGTTAGGGTTGGGGGCACAGCATGCCCCTAAATTACATGTTCCACGTGACCAGCCGGTAGCATATGATTGGCTAATTTATAATATTGCTATTACTAAAGTCAAATTTGAAATTAATATTTTCTATTCTACCTTTACTATATATTATATTATTACTTTATTTTGCTAGTAATAAAATGGCGGTGTTTTGTAAACTGAAGCATGGTAAATAACAAATTTAGTTTATATAAAAATAGAACAGCGTGCTAGATGAATATAATATTACTAATTCGAATAATAGACAGATGCTTTAATTTAATCACCAACTTTCTACCTGTAACGTTAGCACTGCTATAGTACCCAAAACCTTATTCAAAGCTTTTATTTTTTTTAATTGATTAGTACCCAGGGGTAGTTTGTGTAGAACTGGATGCTATATTTAAACTCAAGAATTAAGCCAATAGGATGGTGAATAGTACCTGAGTTTTCTTAATTATGAAGGAATTTTTTAATAGAATACTATAAGCAATGCTTAATAGTATTAGCAATGTTCAGATTGCTGATTAAATATTTTTTTTATTATAATTACAAAAGCGAAAGCCAAACACCAGTTAAATAACTATAAGTCATTTATTACTGTAGTGCACTGATCAAAATATCCCTTTTTCAGTACCTTCATGCAAAATACCCTGGTGCAAAACACAAAATCACTATTAATTAAATATAGTTTTTTTTTAAAAAATTTTTAAGCTGCTTATTGTAAATGCGAAATATGTGTATGTTTAAATTTTTTTTTTCTTGCGATATAGACCCACTATAGCATAATATACCAGGCCCTTTGTAAGTTTTTAATGGGTAGAATGTATTGAACCCGGGTACTTTGGTCAGTGCATTACGGTATATTCTTTTCTATTCCTGCTAATTAATTTTCAATTATATGATTTTTGAAGATGCTGCTAAAATCAGATAATGTCGAAATTGGTCCTATGTAGCTTTGAAATTTTAAAATTTGAATTTTTTTTTTGTTATAATGATTAATAAAAGAGTATAGATAGATTTTAGTAGATTTAAAAAAACTCACTGTATCTTAGTATCATCCGATTTCAGCAGTACTTAGTGTTTATACATATATAAAAGTTAATTTCTACAACATTAAATAATAAATTGACCAGTACTTATAAAATTCTTTAAGCAATTTTACCTTAAATTTCTAATTGTATTCTTCTGTTAATTCTTATTACACCTTTGAATAGTAATACAGTAAATAATAAAAGGCTATATGTAAAATTCCACTATATTTCTTTATTAATTTGCACAATGAGTATAAACGTTCCTTCAAGGCAAGAGTGGTTATTTTTCATGAGTGAAAGTTATGTTCTTGAAGATGCATACTATAAATATATTACTCGAGTAATTGATTTTATTCAATTAGCCATAGGGTGCAAATGTATGTATGTATATAAGCACATGTACATATGTATATAATAGATACCAAATGCAGTTGTGGGTAATTTGACTAATTGGGGTGTGATATAATTAAATCAAATGATTATTGCACCATTGATTTTTTAAATAAGAAATTGAATGATTATTGCATCATTGATTTCTCAATATGAGAAATTGAATGATTATTGCACCATTGATTTCTCAATATGAGAAATCGAACAATTATTGCACTATTGATTTCTCAATATAAGAAATCGAACAATTATTGCACCATTCGATTTCTCAATATAAGAAATCGAAAGTTACTACATCATTCGAATTCTAAATAAAAAATCAGATGATAGAAAAATTTAATCATTTTAATTACAAAATCAAGAGATATCAGTAAAACCATCATTTATATGACATTTTACAAAGATATCTTGCCACCTAGTAATCAAAATCATACGATTTTCTAAATATAATAAACGTAAATTAATACCAGCGAATTAGTTATAAAACGGCTAAAATCAAAACTATAAACCTTCAACTTATTTGAAAAGTCAAGTTTAAAAAAAAAAAAAATTGGCAGAAATTAATCCTATTGCTACTCAAATTCCTTCAGGTTTTGCTTTACCACTCCAAACACAAGGTAAACGTTGGACAGGTTTTTACCGTTCTCAAACAAAAAAAGTAGGAAATAAATATGCCGCGAAATGTAGTTATTGTTTAATTGAATTAGTTGGCAAGCCTAAAAAACTCCATCAGCATGTTCTTCGTTGCAGTGATTGGCCACCCTCTGAAAGAACCAAGTATCTTCAAAAAATTACTAGCAAAAATCTTATATCCCATAAGCATTCTAATAACCATCTCAACAATGAGGAAAATGATTCTTCAACTATTTATGACAATAATAATCTACAAGAGCTGTCTAATCCACAAGAGCTGTCTAATCCACAAGAGCTGTCTAATCCACAAGAGCTGTCTAATCCACAAG